TTACATATTATGATAAATTTTTAAGGTGTGCCGTAATTGGATTGTTTAAAGTTGCATCCTTATAGAAACCACACCCTATTTTAAAAGGAAAAGGTTTGTATAAGGTTGCAACCTTAAAATATATAATTAAAGATGCACCACAAAAATCAATCGTATAACGATGTTTTAGTGATGGAAAACCCTCTAATTTATTATCTCGACCTCAAAATGTATGAATATAAATAAATAAATAAAATTTCAGTCCTATTAATAGTGTACCTTGCAACACATTATCCAGACCGTCCATTTTCAATATTTTCATAGGTTTATAGATCTTCTTGATTTTAATCATTTTTGGGGTTTAAAATTTTATAATTAGATATGAGAATAGATTTTGAGATAATCCTAATAATTTTTTACATCAAAATTAGATGTCATGATAAAATTTAGAGGTGCACCATGCTTGGATTGTTTAAGGTTGCAACCTTATAGAAACCACACCCATTTTAAAAAGAAAAAAGTTTATATAGAAAGAAAAAAGTTTATATAAAGGTGAGGCTCAAAAAATTCACAAGAAATATTGTTTCAATGCTAAAAACCCTCAATTTGATCATCCGACCTCAAGATTTATGGACATGAGAAAAAATAGATTTCAAGTATTGGAAATAGTATTTCTTGTAATATATAGTCTAAATATCAATTTTCAAAATTTTCAAGTGTTCATAGATATTCTCGATCTACATTAGTTTGAAATATTTAAATTTTATAATTAGAGATGATAATAAATTTTCAAGTCATCATAAAGCTTTTTTATACTGAAACAATATATTTCGATACGATTTGAAGGTGTGTCTTAGATTGATTGTTTACGGCCTCCGCCTTTTAAAAACCACACCATTCGGAAGAGGACCATTATACACAATGAGAACATTAACCATTTGACGGGGAGGTCAATAATTACTTATAAGTTATAACTATTTGATGTTAACTCTGGTAGTTTTAGCGTGTCATAAAGTTTGGAAAAAAATATCTTTTGGACTTTAAGCTTAGTCAATAGGAAAAATGCAGTCACCCAAATTGATATCTAATTATGAAGTTTTAAATGTAATCACCTTGTACTAAAAGTAAATGGTCTCTTTATATATTTTTCATTAAATAATTCATCTTTGGAAGGTTGTTTCGATAAAGTTTCGAAATATCAATGAGATAGCCAAAGTAACCCTTCTAATTATAGAGTACATACGATGTAACTGTCAATAAATGAGAGTATTTGGTAATTTAAGTGACTTTAGTCACCTGAGTCAAATCACTCAAATATCTTCATATAATATTTGTAAACATAAAAATATATATTTTATAGAAAATATTGCTTCGGTTTTGGAATTTTGAACAAGAGAAACATTTTGAACCATAGTTAAACATATTTCATATATTGGATCCAAAAAATATTACCAGACCTGGACTAGATCGACCCGACCCAACCCTATCCCTGACCTAAATAGTGTTTGGGTCCAACTGTTGGACCCAAACCCAACCCATAGGGTCCATTTTTTAGACCTATACCCGGACCTAGATCAGTTCTACCCCTCAGGGTCAGAATCCCCTAATAAAAGATATCATCCCCTACTAATAAGTTCCAAACCAAGAACAAGATTTTATAAATAAAAGCATAAACAACTATATTCTAAGTTTGAACCCAAAACTAGTGAGGTCATTTAAGTTGCTTATTTCAATAATTTTTGCAGCAGAATTACCAAAATGCCTTCACTTATCCAAATCTAAAATAAGGCATTTATATATGGAAAAAGTTTATATAGAGCTGAAGTTCTAAACAATCAAATTTGAGCCTACATCAAAATTTTCACTAGAAGAGGTGGTTTTGATGCTCAAATATCCTCAAATTGACCATCTCAACATCAAGATGCATGGACATGAAAAAAAAGTGGATTTCAAATTTTGAAAATAGTATATTTTATAACGTATTTTTTTACCGTCAATTTTTAAGTTTTCATAGATCTACACTATTTTTGAAACTTTAAACTCTATAAATAAAGATGAAAATATATTTTAAGACTATGACAAATATTTTCAATATTGAAACCACATTTTTCGATAGTATTTGAAGGTAGGCTCTAATTTGATTGTTTAGAGCCTAGGGCTCTACAAACCACACCCTTTATATGTTCACTTTTTAAATAATTTACTTTAGTAGTAAATTAGTTGACTCAGTAACCTCACTCGTTATTTTTTAGGTGGCTTGACCCATTTGGCCAGTATTCTTTATTAAATTTTGTAAATATTTTTCATGTAGTTACTAGAATGGCCTCAACAGTTGGACTGGTGAAAATCATTTATTAGAACCCCACACTCTTAACTTTTTGACCCATATGACAAGTTGCAAAGTTAGCATGTTTTCCAAATGTGAGATGGACTTCATTTATAATCATTTAATTCACTCTGAAAATAACCTAGAAAATAATATATATTTTTATCAATTAAAATCACTTATGCCAATTTTCCCCCAAGTGAGGGGACAAAGGACTTCTAAGATCATCATATTGTGTTAAGGTTTGAGTATTTGAAAAATTGTCGATCTGGATCGAGAATTAACAATTTTAGTTGAGATTGGTAATGGCCCAACTTGAATTCATACCGTAACCAGGAATCAATATCATTTAAATGAATCGTCCTAGTTCAGAGAACCAAGAAAGTATATTATGTAGTCAAGTGACCGAAATCAGTAGAATCACCCAATTCCCTCCTTTTTTATTTTCAAACATGTTTGTTTATAATTATTTCGGAATAGATCAGTAA